ACGTCCTGATAGGGCCTGACTGGGCAGGCCATGGTACGCCTCCTGTTGTCTCTGGGGTGGCTGCCTCTCATCTTCCCCAGGCTTGAGCTCGTGGGGCCACCTAAGGCTGGCTATCCCATCTTGCTGGGCCCTGGGAGGTCAGTGAGCCGCGCTTGGGCCTCCTTTGCAATTTTGAGGGTCCAGGGACTCTTGGGCACCCCTGCTGGAAGGGGAGGTCTAGAACCTTCTAGGAGGGGGAAATATTTAAAGGCTGAGGGGTGCAGGGGAAATGCGTATGTCTCTGGAGTCCATTTTTCTTGCTTACCTCTGCACCCAAGTCCCTCCTGGAGGCCACAGACTCACACAAGAGGGAGCCCTGCCTCGCGCCGAGCCCCATCTCTGCTGGGCAGATCACTGCCCCATCTCCACTTCTGCTTGCACAACGGAAGGAATGGCCTGGTTCTCATGCATGTTTATGTGCACATGCCTGTGTGCACACGGCACTGGCTGGGTATTAGCTGGGGCTGGGGAACTAAGAAACTCTTTAAAAAGGTGCATTTTGCAGATCCATGACCTCACAATCCTATGACCCTGCTGAACTGACCCGCAGAGAGCTAAAGTGCTCCTCTTCCTGCCTCCCTTTCTCCAAGCTTTTCTGGAGTCCGGGCAGCTCCTGAGGAAGCAGAGGCCCCGGGAGGAGGGGAAGGACATGGTCAGGACAGCCAACGTCCCTGGGGACCAAGGAGTAGCCTCCTGAGAGCGCCAGGCTTGGGGGTGGGGGCAGCAGAAAAAGCCCCCCCCCTTCTCCCACCTGTCCCTCCAGGGAGCGGGACCAACCCTCCTCCCCTCAGCACAGCCACGGAGGCACTAGTTCTGGGCTGCGAGCCAGCCGCCTTCAGTCTAGTGCTCCACTGCCGGCCGGCCCAGCCTCATGCTGCTGCCCCATGGCCCGAGGCCCCCGGGCACTAACAGACTCAAAGCCTGCAAGCTAGTTAGAGCCTCAGCTCCAGTTTCTTCAGTCCATGGTCCGGGGGGAACGTGGTGGCCAGGGGAAGAGGAGGCCTCGCCGGGGCTGGCTGCGTAGGGCCCCGGGAGAGTGAGGTGTGTCTTCAGAACTGGAGTCGGGGTGCAGCTGAGAAAGGGAAGGATGTTGGATGAGGCAAACCCAGGTGCCAGGATTGGGATTCTCTTCCCAAAATGATGGTGATCAGTGACCAGGAACGCATCGTGCCAGGGTGTGGGGAGCAGTGGAGGGGCAGCCCAGGCCCCCCAGTGGCCAGCCCTCCCGGGGCAGCAGGGGAGTGGGGCAGAGTCTACACCAGGCTCCTTGAGCCACTGGAGTAGCGGCGCCGGTGCAGCAGGGAGCCTGGTGGACAGAACTGGTGAGGGTGGTTGTAGGGGGGCGGGGGCGGGGGCAGCGGCGGCTGGTGGATGACCTTGACCGGAGAGCCGGGGCCGCCCAGGGGTGTGGAGCCGCAGGAGTCAGAGGAGGACGAGGTGTAGCAGGAGAGAGCCTGGCTCAGCAGGGGCTCCATGCGGGCCAGGCAGGGCTTGTCCAGGACAATGACCTTGACAATTTGCTGGCACTGCACCAGGGTGCCCGGGGGTGTGGGTGGCGGCGGCGGCAGCGGCGGGGGCTGCTGTCTCAGGGGGCTAGGCGGCAGGTCTGGCGGCAGCACCGGCACTCCCCTCTCGGCCCCCAGCCCGGAGTTGTGCTGGGACGTTTGAAGCCTGTTGTGAATTGACACCTAGTTTAGAAACAGCCAGAGAAGCATGAAATGTTACAAGACTAATTCCCAGCTGCGAGGACAGGCTGCCCTGAGCTTCCCCTGGCCTCCCTCCCACTCTCAGCCCTCACTCTGACCCTCTCTCCATCTCTCTACCCGCAAGAAGACTGGGTTCTGACTCTGGCTTTTGCCCAGGAGGGAGAGAGGAGTCGAGAGGCTGGCATGTCCTGCCACTGACTGTGAGCGGCGTCGCTCTGTGGCCTCAGTCTCTCCATCTGTAAGATGGGCTCTGCATTCCTCTGCCGCCTGACTTCACGGAGCTGTTGGGTGTCCCTAGGCCATGGGAAAACTCCTCCTCACCTCCTTTTCCACCACTCTCTGAGCTTGAAAGCAGGGGCCATAGTCTTTGCCCCTCCCCACCTCCTAGGAGTGTGTTGAGGCAAAGGAGGGCAGACCCAGGGACAGGGCCAAGCATTTTTGAGCCTTTCATATCTCTGTTCCCTCCAGCCTTGTTATAGAGGAAGAATCACTGGTACCGTTGACATCATAGAGGCTTAAACCCCAGAATGCCAAAGGGTGATCTGGACCTACCTGTCCTCCCAGACTCCCCAAGGCCGTGACCCTGCATTCGAGAGCAGCCCAAACAGCCGAGGCAGAGTCAGCTCTCCAGCTGTCATTCTGGCCCAAGCTGGGTCCTGGTTAACTTGCCTGGCTGCAGGAGGGGATCCCCAGAGAGGGCTCCAACCTTGATCCCCAAGGTGGGGCATGAGCCTCCGCCCTCAGACATGGAGGTCACTGTGAACTAGCCTGGCCTCTCCTTGCTAGCAGCGGGAGGTGGAGGAGATGGGTGGAAGGGAGGCTAGAGGATTCTGGAAGGAGAAGGATTTAACTCCTCACACCGTTCCACCCCCAAGCTCCCCTGCCCATGGCTATGACACCCCACAATCCCCTCCAAACACCTGGGGCCTCTGGGGGAGGCTGAAACCCTCCTCCTCTCTGAGGATCTTCCTATTGGGCTGCCATCTGTCCTCGGGCAGCACCACCTGGGGCCGGTGCTCAGAGCACCGAGGGGGAAACGGAAGCTGCAGGGGAGGTACCTCATCCCAGGCCTAGACCCAGCTGGCCCAGCCCAAAACGACCCCGGAACCCTAAACCAGCATTTCGTCATCCTGTTTTGGCTGCAGGTGCAGTTCAGGGACACCCTTTCCCGGACCTGTGTACTCCCAGTGGGGCAACTTCCCTCCTGAGGCTCCCCAGGCCTTTGTCTGCCCCCTCAATATTCATGAGCCCAACTGCCACACTCGGCGTGTCGCAGGCTTTATTCTTCCTTCTCAGCCTCCAACCTCAGCACATTTTCCAGGCCTGAGGTCCTCCCCCGAAACAAACCAAGGTTCCCTGAGCCCCTCACTGTCCTTCCAAGACACGGCAGGTACAAAGCATGGCTGGGGCCCACCTGCCTCTGGGGATCCCTCCAGGGTCCTCACTCAGGCAGAAGCCGCTGGAGGGCACGCGCTCCTCCCCCTCCTGCTTGTGTTCTGAATTCCTCCCCAGGAGACACGGGGCTTGAGACAGCCAGGACAGGCTTGTGCTCATCTGCCTCCCTCCACCTGGACGTGGCAGCAGCCCTCCCCAGGCGAATGTCTGGCTGTCCCAGTCCAGATCCCCTGAGCAGTCCTTCTTCTCCCTGAGGCTCCCCACGCAGCGCCCGCTGTGGGCCACAGCCTGCGCCTCCCGTTTACCTCCCCTCTCTGGTCCCTCCACTGCACCCCCGGCCCCATCCCAGTCTGGATCCTTTCTCTTTAGTGGTCAGTGAGTGTAAAGCAGGAAGTGACAGCAAAATGTCCTCTCCTCTGACCCCCTTCTCACCTCCCTGCTCATGAAAGAAAGAATGAGGGGAAGGGGGAGACAGAGGATGGAACATGGGCAGCAGGTCAGAACAGCTCAGAGAAGATGGAGAAGCACCTGCCAGAGGGGCTTGGCCAGCAACGGCAGAGAGAGGGCAGAGGAGAGAGAGCTTGGGGTCCAGCTGAGGCCATGGGAGGCGAGGCTGCCCTCTGCGCAGGAGAGCAGAGGCTGGCGGGGCCCTGGAGCTAGCTTAGGGTGGCAGCCTTGCAGATAGCCATATGCCATTAGGCAGGGCAGAAGGGAGGAGAGCGTGGGGTTGCTTGTCCTCCCTGGGTAGCTCAGGCTAGGGCAGGGCAGGGCTGGCAGAACAGAACAGAGGGCTGGGCACAGGTGTGCTTATCTGCAAGGCTCAAGAACGGGCAGCTGCGGAGGATGGGGAGTGGAGGGGGGCGGGGAATAGAATACCCACCCTGGGGGCTTGTCAGCTGCTGGGGCAGGAAGCTCCTCCTTGTAAAGGTGCCTCCTCCAGACACGGGTGTGTGGGGGGTGGAGGGCCGTGGGAGAGAGAGAAGACACTGAGCTCCCCTGGGGTGTCCTGCTTCTTCCCAGGGCTTAGTCAGACTGGTGGGTAGGGCACCTTAATAAGACACCTAATGGGGCTCCCTCCGGCTCGAAGTAGGGGCTGGGAAGGGAGGTGTCTATATGAGCAGCTGGTGGCTCCGGGAGGCCTGGCAGGAAAGGAGTGGAGCTGGGACTCACTGGGGTGCAAGAGGACCCAGTGGGAGAGGGCTGGGGCTCACGAGGCTTGTAGGGGCATCTGCACGCTCCTCCCATAGGTGGCACTGTGGGGGTTTGGCAGGGACCAGCTGCTGCTGGGTCTTCTGCAGTCCCTCGCTATGTGACGTGGAGATGGGCAGCCTCCCCTCCACCACAGACAGTCCTCAGGTTTATCGCTCTTACCCCAGGAAAGCCCCCAAGACAGCCCCACCCTGCTCTGTCTCATTTTGTTTTGCACACATCCCCACGCCATGGCCAGCTTTCCAGATGGACCAGCTGTTCCAGGGAGGAGTCCCCCTCCCTCTGGCCCCCAAGTCTCAGTTCTCCAACCTGGTCCCAGGTGTCCAAGAGGACAGGGTCTGCCCCAGAAGTGATCGTTCGGGGCCTGGCCTGAGGGGTGACTCTCCGGGGGAGCCCAGGCTCCCCGCTATGGAGGGTGGGAGGACTTGGGGAAGGGGATGTGAGGTTCTCTGATACAGCAAGTACTGGGGGAGCAGTGAGCAGTGAGCATTTCCTGGGGAGGTGGATTTGGGGGCACACAGGAAGGATGGCCCTAGGGTGTCATGAGCTCCGTCTCCACTGTGTTAGTCTGGGAGCTCAGCCTCGGAGGGCAGCAGGCTGGGGAAAGGGGAGAAAGAGCTCGCGGCTTAATTAGGTGCTGGAACAGTGGCATTACCCATGCTAGCAGTAACTTTTAATTGTATCTCTTGAAATTGGTAAAATGGTGAGTCGGGCTGGGGAGGCATTGATTAATACCTGAGAAGAGAAACAACAGAGACGGTGAGAAGAAGGACAAGGGGGCAGGGAGTCACTCACCTGGGCAACCAGGGCTCCACTTACCTCCACCGTGCTCTCCGCCGGCTTCTCCCTGAGCGCGGCCTCCCTTTTGGCTTTGAATGCAAAGAGCACAGGGCTCATTCTCTACTGGCTGAGAATGAGCTACCTGCCCCTCCCCTGTGCCCCTCAAGCATCTCTGCAGCTAAGACTCGGGGTCACGCTGCTCCTCACTGGGGCAGAGATTGGGAGTCCCACTGTGCCACTTAGGAGCTGTGTGACCTGGGCGAGATGCTACATCTCTCTGGGCTGCCACAGACTAGAAGATCTCTGGCGCTCTTTCTCATGTTGGCATTGTGGAATCTGATTGACCCACAGTCAAAGCCTCCCCAGTACGAACTGTGAAAGCTGGCTTGGAGGAGGCCTGGGTTGTGGGCGCCACGTTCATCAGCCTCCGTGGATCACAGGCTCCTTGAGTGTGAGCCACACTTCTTTGCTCCCAGCCCTGCAGACTGGCTGAGGGGGGAGGACCAAATGGGCTGAGGCCTGCACAGCACTCACCGCAGTGCCTGGCACAGTAAAAGCCGATAATGGCTCTGTAATTACTCTGAGGGCCTTCTGGCTGGCCTGGCACAGCAGCAGGGACCCTGTGGACCTCCATGGATAGCTCATTGGCTCTTTCTGGCTGAGTCACTCCCGGCTTCCACCCCTACCCCCACAGGAGCCCCTCTCATTTCCCAACCCCTGGGGGTGCCAGTTTCCCCCTGCTGTGCTCAGTCCTCTGCTTCCTGCAGCAGTAGAGGGAGCTGCACCATTGTCTGGGAATGAGACAGACCCAGCTGTGGAAGCGACTAAGGGACACGTCCCTGGGGACAGGCATCTGGCAGGGAATAATACGCAGCTAAGGGCTAGCTCTGGGGTTTCACAGCTGAGAAAACAAGCAGCGACCCGTGCCCTATGACCTTATGGAAATGAAGAGGCCAACTGAAATCAGGCAGCGTGGAGAATTACGGACGCACGATGGCAGGTCAAACCCATATAGGGAAGATTGCATCACAGTGAGAACCTCTACAGAGCAAAAAGAGCCCCATGTCCTGCTCGGAAAGCGAATCTCATGTCCTCGCTGCCGTAACCAGTCCCCGTGCTGCTGCCTGTTCCAAGTCAGGAGTCAGGGCCAACTGTGGCGGGTCATGGACCGCGTGGAGCCCACTCGAGTTTCTCGCTATGATCCTGGCTTTCCAGTGCTCTGCACAGGGCAGCAGCCATTCGAGAAGTGTTTGTTGAGTGTGAGAGTAAGTGACTGAGTTAACTAATTGGTGGACAGTCGTGGATGGCTTGCTGGGATGTCACTGGAATGAGACTGAATTCTCATGCATCTCTCCTCGTTCTCTTTATTTGGGGCTGGTGGAGGGGAGGTGGTGGAAACTTTTCCTGATCCCCTGCAGGTGGGGGTAAGGTTGGGGTAGGAGGTGGAAGGTAGGGGCCCTTGGGGGCAGAGGACGCAGGTCTAGGGAACCTGGCTGAAGGAGGTGCCACCCTGGAGCCAACTTGACTTGGCTGGAGTGAGCAATTCAACTGGAGAAACCATTAGAGAAGTGGAGTTTGAGGGTCTCTCTGGATTTGGGGTGGGCTGACCTGAGCCAGGGATTAGGGAGTGCTTTTGCCTCATTAGTGAAGGGACTGTACAGAGAAGAGCAAGATCCAGGTCCTTCTGGTCACCCTGCCCTTTTATACTGCCTGGTTGGAGAGTGTTCCTCATGGGGTTTCTCTTGACCTCGTCTCGTCAAGACAGCCTGGCTGCAGGAGGGAAGGCCTCCCTGCTGGGCCCGGGATGCCAGGACTCTTGCCTGACTCCTCCAGGGCAGACAGTGACATCTCACATAGACTCCAGAACTCTGGTGCAGTTTGCAAAATGGACAGACACATTTCTCTCTTGCCTTCCTCCTTACTCCCACCACTAAAGCCCATGAGATTAAAGAAGGCAAGCCTGGCACTCCTCAGCAGAAAAAGAAACATGCCATGGGAACGGGCAACTCTCCCTGCAGATTGCCCAGGACCCACACCCAGGGTCCCTGAGTGGCCTCCATGGGGGCTGGCGCCCTGGGCAGAGCCGAGGCTCACCTGTCGGCGATCCTTGCTTTGACTGTGGCTCCCCCTGGGCTCCGCTGGGCTTGAAGGAGAGTGTCTTTGTTCCCTGCTGCTTCTCCAGCTCCCCTAAGGAATGGAGAGGCCCGTGAGCAAGAGAAACCATAACCTCAAACACACAGAAGTAAGGGAGGAAATGCGGGGCAGGCAGGAAGGGGAGGAAGAAGCCGAGAGGTCCCAGCACATGCTGTGAAACACGGACCTTGGGTCTGGCCCCACCACTGAATAGCAAGTAAAATACCCCCTGGGAACCACGGTCTCATCTGTACATGGGGATGATCGTATCTGCTTAAACATCAGAGACGCACAGAAGAGGCTGATGTGAGGGAGGTTTGAATCCTGGTTCTGACACTCCCTGGCTGTGTGGCTTTAGGCAAGTTACCCAACCTCTCCATGCCTCACTTGAGAGGACAGCTGTGCCCGCTTCAAGGTGTCATTAAGAGGACTGCGTGGAGAAATACACATAAAGCACTGAGGACAAGGCCTGGCTAGTGACCGGTACTCCATAAGTATTAAGGTGCGTGTGAAAGTAATGGCAAAAACCGCAATTACTTTTGCTCCAACCTGTATCAGTTTTGTTACATTGTGTGAGAAGCACTTGGCACAGCAGAGTTTGCTGACAGGGGTGACACCTCACCTCTCCACCCGGCACCTGGGAGGATGGAGCCTGCCTGGCCGGCTGAGCCTCCACAAGGTGTTCAAAGCTCTCCCAAGGAGGCAAGTCCATACCAAGGGTGTGGAGGTTGCAAGCCTGCGGGGCCAGGACATCTGTCTAGGTACTCAACTTTAATTCCTCTCACTGGATTGGAAACCTGTTCCTTCTTGTTCTTCTCTCAGTGGAGCTACAGAACTGCCGGCTGCCATCCTTGGAGATTTGACATGATTATTAAATCACTCCTCCTGCTTCTCTTTTCCAGGAGACATAACTCAAGTTCCTTTTATTACAGCTACTCTCCTGGGCTCCATTTTCAGTCTCTCTGGTTGTCTAGAAACCAGGGACACTGAACTGTAGGCCCCCAAACCAGAACAATTTGTCCTGATTGCCTAAATCACACCATCGATCAATGCTAAATATTTTTACTGCACTGAGAGTTGTTTCTCTCCCCCAGAGGGGCTCTCTTGGCTTTGGAGAAATTAGCATCATAATTACAAGTGAGGAGTCCTGGGCCACTGGATGCAAACCTTGTTTTGTCACTGACTGCGAACTTGGACAACTTTCCTAAGTGCTTTTAGCCTGTTTCCTTATTGTAAAATGAGGAAAATAATGCCCACTATGGAAAGCTGTCGTGAGAATTAGTCCAGTGCCTGACATATAGTAAGTCTTTAATAAATGGTAGCTGATACTGCTTTCCGTTTTCTTTTCTTTTTTGTAGAAACGGGGACTTGCTGTGTTGCCCAGGCTGTTCTTGAGCTTCTGGGCTCAAGCACTCCTCCCTCCCGAGCTTCCCACAGTGCTAGGATTACAGGTGTGAGCCACTGAGTCCAGCCCATTTTATTTTATTTTATTTTTCCTGGCTTCCTTTCCTCCCTGTCTCCCTGGCCTGCCCTTCCTCTTCCCTCAGCTGTTCCTTCCCTTTCTCTCCAGTGAAGACTAAGAGCCAGCATGAGCCTTTCTTCCTGCTCTTTTACCCTTGAGGCAGCAGGAGAGGATATTCACCTCCTGACATGACAGATTCTGACACTGTCTGCTCCTCCGTGACTTTGGGAAGCGGGGTAAATGCTGCTCCTGCGCTGATGGAGGAAGGTGCCTCTCTCACCTATGCTGGTGCCACTTGGTGTGCTATGGCCCCCCAGGGCAGTGCGGAGCCATCCGGGACAGTCAGACAACGACAGAGGTGAAGCCATTTCAAGGTGCTTTCTTGAAAATGCTCCAGAACAACAGCAGGGGTGGCCTCTCTGGGGATCCAGTGCAGCCCTTGAAAAGAATCTGTTTGTTTCACCACTGAACTCAAATAAGCCAACAGACTGAAGGAAGGGAGTTTATATGTACCCCTCCCCACCAAGCAGTTACCTGAGTTCTAGAGCCCAGTCTGATGGATCTCATTTTACCCTGATTTAGATTGTTTCCTTAGAAAAAATAAACAGAACCTCTTCTCTCACTCCTAAGTGAAAGTATAGAATCAAACGTAAATGAAAATGACACTTTGGGAGGCCGAGACGGGTGGATCACGAGGTCAGGAGATCGAGACCATCCTGGCTAATACGGTGAAACCCCATCTCTACTAAAAAAAAATACAAAAAAACTAGCCGGGCGAGGTGGCAGGCGCCTGTAGTCCCAGCTACTCGGGAGGCTGAGGCAGGAGAATGGCCAAACCCGGGAGGCGGAGCTTGCAGTGAGCTGAGATCACTCCAGCCTGGGCGACAGAGCGAGACTCCGTCTCAAAAAAAAAAAAAAAAAAAAAGAAAATGACAGCTCCTCCACTTCTAACATGCACAACCTGGACACACGGCTGAACTCCTCAGCCTCAGCTGTAGAGTGGGGTCAATGCACCTACCTTGCAGTGTCACTATGAGAATCCACAAAATAAACTACTTAGCGTGTAGTAGGAACCTCAAAAATGATGTATCAAAAGCACCAGCCTGTCACATTGATCCCCTGCTCAAAATCTCCCCCTGCCTTTCCTAGCGCCTAATGGGCAGATATTAATTTGGAAACACTTTTAAACTAAGTGGCCATACAGGCAGGCCTGAAGCCTATTTTCATTTTCTGTTTTCGTTTCTGAATCTGTTCTTATTTAGTCCTCCCTTAAAGGCTATCTGGAGCCTCTGTGATGCTTAATCAGTACAAGCTTGTAGGTGGGTACAGGTTGCAGGCCCTTGCTGCTCTTCCCTTAACCCCAAAGCGGGCAGTAAACCACCTGGACATACAAGGAGACCCACATATTCTCTAAAATGCCTGAATGGAATAATCTAGAATCTAAGCATTTCTTAGAGGAACAGAGACTACTGTAAGATGAGGGATAGTAAGAAAGCAGCCTAGGCTCTTCAAAAGGACAATATTTTAAAGAAAATAAAGTGGAGGGATGATTCAAGATTAAAAGAGAGTGAAGAAATGAGGCCAACCAGATGCAATGTACAGACTTGGGCCACAGCGGGGGAGGTAACAGCAGACGGTTTGGTGGGAAGAAAAGCACCAGAGCCCCATGGGCCTGCCTGGCCGGCTCGCTTGGTCATCCTGGTAAAACATAGCAGAGCTCTCTGTTCCAAGAGGCCCATGTGCAGCCCCACGTGCCGGCTGATCTGTGTACACATGTGTGTGCATTCTAGCAAGCCTCACTTTAATTATGAAGAAACATGGAAACTGGTGCTCCCACCCGGGCTGTGGGAGTGTGGTGTGGTGGGGCCTGGAGATGGAGAGGGTCTGAAGTGGGGCCAGGGCAGGGTTGCGCTGCTCCCTGGAGTCAGGCATGTCTGTCTCAAGCTACGCCTGTCCCTTGCTGAATGGGAACCCCCACCAGCTGCCTCGGGAAGCCTGTGTCCTTACACTCTATCCGGATCTGCTCCAGCTCTGTCACCTCAGCAATGGACTCCTTCAGGTCCTCCACGAACTTTTGCATCTCGTCCGAGCCCAGGGCACAGAAATGCAGCACCTGCTTCCTCTCGGAGCCCGAGAGCGGTGTCACCAGTGTAATGCCATGAGAGTAATCTGGAAAGCAGACCCCAGGCCCCCAGTGGGCTGTGAGCAGCAGCAGCAGCCGAGGTCTGGAGCCAGCCAGACATGAGGAGGGCACGGGGTCTTTGGGGCACTCATGCCTCCATCCACTCTGCTGTCCAGCACTTCTCCCTCAACTCACCCCAGCCATTTCATTCATCCATTCCTTCTCAAACTTACATTGGCTGTCAAAGACTTACACTCGTTCTCAAAGAGGTGGAACTGCATGCCTAGCAGACCAACTGACTTGCAGAAGGTGTACGTGGAGGAGCTCTTCTTCTTCGGGCAAAGTTTGAGAATCTGTTCAGGAGAGGGAGATAGACATGTGCTGATGAGCAGACAGTCATGGAAACATGGATGCACAAACACCCAGGGGGATGCATGATCACAGAAGTAAACACATGCAGTGATGAATGTGCACATACAGACACAGATATATACATATATGTACACACACTATACCAAAATGTGCGTCTTCACTGCACAAAACCCTACAGTTGTTATTCCCTCTGCACTTAGAAGCCAAGCCACGGACCCTGAGCTGATCTGTAAAACCCACCTGATGTGATCCTTGCCTTACTCTGGACTTCTGCCCAAGCCACAGTGTCCTCCCTTCTGTAGCTTGAGAAGGGCAAGCTCGGTTCCACTGTGGGCCCCTCGCATACGCTGTTCCCATTTCACAGCTCTCCCGGCAGCTTTTTGCACAGCTGCATTACTCTCATTACTTAAGTCTCAAATGCTACCTCCTTAAAGATGCCTTCCTGGACCACCCCCTCTAGAAAACAAACCACAGCAAACCCAAATCCGGCCCTTAACCCCAGTCACTTCCGTACTATCACCTGGTTGCAGCCTTCATAGTGCCTTCCCCCAATCTGATATTATCTTGTTTGTCTGTTTCTTATTTTCTATCTCCCTCCCCTGCTAAAATGAAAGCTCATTTTAGTAAAGTCATCTGGTTGCTTAATAAACAAATTTCTATTCGGAGCCTTCTGTGAGCTGAGCCCTGGAGACACAGGAGAACTCAGAACAGAGCCCTTGACCTCAAGGTGCTTATGGAATGTGGAGTGTCACAGTGCCCATCAGGTGATCAAATAATAAAACATAACAGCAAAGAAAACAAAACCAAGGTGCTAAGTGTTTTGAAGAAAATGAAATAGGGTAAGGAATCAAACGTGATTTGAGACTTGAATGAAAAGAAAGAGGCCAGGAAGGCAAGAGGAGAGTGCAAGGTCTGGAGGAGCTTCGCAAGAAGGAGCAGCAAGTACAAAGGCCTGGCCCACAGAAGGGAGGCGGCTCACAGGGCTGAGGAGAGGGCAGGGAGGCAGATTAGGGGAAGGGACACGTGGCCTAATGTACACTCCAGAGAGATCACACTGCTGCTCTCAGGGGGTGAACCCTAGAGGTGGGGAGAGCCGTGTGGAGGCTGATGTGGTTCACTGAATGTACCAGGCGCACGCTAAGACCGTAGTAGTGGAGGTGGTGAGAGGTCGTTCAGGCTTGTGATCATTTTAGAGGCAGTGCCAGTGTGGCTCATGGATAGAAAGGGCCCGTGCATGGGAGAGGCAAGCCCTGTTCCAGTCCTGCTCACCAGTTTTCCAGACCTACAATAATGCCTGGCTCAGGGTCAACACTGATTAAATATTTGTTGAATGGATACTTGTTTTCAAAGAGCAAGGAACGAGTATCTGCGGATACAGATGTACGCATGTGTGCATGCATGTGCACGCACGCGCACACACACACAGATAAACCAGCCTCGCCTAGGCCCAGGGACAGAGCATGCTCCACCTAGGTAGGCCCTGTTCCTCCCAGGCCCTGGGGTGTGAGGCACAGCCCTGCGCGCTCCCTGCCCTGTGCGCTCCCTGCCCTGGGCTTCCTGTAACGTGGAGAGGCCAATGGTCTGGGATCTAGTTTGTTAACAGTTTGTGCAACCACGAGCAGATCATCTGATGTCTCGGTGTCACGACTTATGAAGTAGGAATTAGCATGTTTGCCTGAGCCCCCTCACGCCCACGGTGTGAAAGCACCATGAAGGCAGATCCGTCCCACGGAACAGGCATTCCGTCTGAAACCTCTGGGCGTCCTTTCCTGCCCACTTCAGGGACCCTGCCCAGGCTGCTCAGGGCAGCGGGTAGCCCCAGCCCAGCCCAGGCCCGGAGCGGGGGGCCACTCACCACCAACAGGTCATTGAAGAGGAACACCTCCCTCTGATGCGCCGCCTGCTTCTGCACCTTGTTCACATCCGTCACCTCAAAGAGCCGGCTGCAGCACACCAGGCGGCGGTGGGGCACCGACAGCACCTGCACGCGGGCGTGGCGCTCAGCGGGAGAACCCAGAGGCCTCGAGGCCTCCCCAACCACAGCGCCCATTTTCCAGAAGAGGAGACGGGGGCCCAGGGAAAGGGGAGGGGCTCTCCGGTTCTGTGGAGGAAGAGGGGAGGCGCTCCGGTTCTGTGGAGAGGGAGGGGAGGCGCTCTCCGGTTCTGTGGCGGGAAAGGGGAGGGGCTCTCCGCTTCTGTGGCGGGAGAAGTGCGGGGCTCTCCGGTTCTGTGGAGGAAGAGGGGAGGCGCTCCGGTTCTGTGGGGAGGGAGGGGAGGGGCTCTCCGGTTCTGTGGCGGGAGAGGGGAGGGGCTCCGCTTCTGTGGCGGGAGAAGTGCGGGGCTCTCCGGTTCTGTGGAGGAAGAGGGGAGGCTCTCCGGTTCTGTGCACAGGGAGGGGAGGGGCTCCGGTTCTGTGGCGGGAGAGGGGAGGGGCTCCGGCTCTGTGGCGGGAGAGGGGAGGGGCTCCGGTTCTGTGGTGGGGCCTGGACTTGACTCTCATCCTTCTCTTCTGAGGCTCTTTCCCTCACATACTCACCCCATGTCCCCAGGGCTCATCCCTGTCATGCCTCTTGGGGAGCACAGCCAAGGAGAAGGGGTCCACTAAGCCACAGTAAATGAGGTGATAGAGGGACAGGAAAAGGACATTGAGAAGAGCTTTCAGGCTGTTCCAATCCAGCCACTGTCAACCTGCTTCCCTCTATAACCTTGAGGGCATCCCCTGTCCCAGGCAGCAGCCTGCAGATATGACACCTCCACCCTTTCTCTACTGCACAGATGCAAGTGTGCGAGAGCGAAGGGATCACAGAGACACCTGGTGTCTACTCCAGCGTGTAAGACAAACCAGTTGCTTGCAACCAGACAGATGCTAAGACCTCAGCAATAAAAGGCTCTCAAAGCAGAAAACGCTGTCCCTGCACAGACTGGGTGGAGGGAGCCTAGTGCAGAGCCTCAGAAGAGGTCTCCAAACTCTCCCAAACTGTCCCCTGAGCCAACAATATGAGGAGGAGGAACTGGAACCCCCATGACATCCTTTATAGTATAAAGTGTAGCCTACAGAGAAGGCCCACTTTAAAAATCATTGCAGGCTTGGAACATGCTGCCTGGGACACAGGTCACTACCAGTAAGGCACCTCTATGGTGATGCCACAGCGTAGAGCCTATTGAGTCCATTTCCTGCCTTCTACTCATCAGGACCATCTAGGAATGCCTAGTAGTCATGCTGTCCTAGGAAAGGGATACTAAATCTCATCTGACCACCCAGATGCTTCCACCCTAGACCACCAGGCAATGCTTCTTGACATCTCATCTCAGATTCTCCTGCTGCAGTATCTGGTGGCAAGAGGCAATGAGGAAATTAGGCAAGAAAAAAAAAAGAGATGCAGTGTCTGGCATACAGTAGCTACGCCATAACTATTATGTGAATGAATACGAAGAAGGAGTTTCGGAAAGGTAAGGAGGAGAATGGGAAGAGATGCCAGGAAGGAAGGAAGGAAAGGAGACAGAAGATACGTGGCTTGTGGACACTCACTGTCTTCATGCCCACGATGGACTTCTCCACCTTGGTGACGTACGTGACGTGGTCCTCATTGGACTTGAGCTCCTTCTGCTGTATCCTCTCATAGATGCCTACCACCAGCTCCCTGGGGATGTCAGCGCCATCGTCCACACCTAACAACGTGGAGTGGGCAGGGGTGGTGGTGGGGTTGGGAGGGAGGGTGTCAGAGCGCTGGAGCTAGACAGAAGAGATCCCCATCCAGCCTGGAGCTCCCCGCGGGTGGTCTTGATTTTTGCCATGCCTTCAATGCCTGGTGCCTCATACCCATTCAATTAAGAACAAGTTCCTTAGCCAGGCACCAAAACTGATGATATGATACGGCCCCAACACGCATTTCCTGCCTCACCTCCTGATGTTCCTCAAGCGGAGTCTTTGCGCCCCCCTCCCAGGCCTCTTTCCCAATAGCCAAATACCACCTCCATGTTCCTGCCAACCCTCTGTGCCTCTGCAGTTCTATCGTCTTCCTTGTGCTTGTCTCACCCCCCAGCTCCGCCCTACCACTCTAGCATCACAAGGAGGTTCTGTTTCATTCTCTTTTGGATCCTCCTCCTCCTGGGTTCTCCCCTCCCCTCCAGTGGGAAGCATGGAGTTGAGAGCTTAGTCTTTGAAGGGATTCCTCCCTCACTGGGAGCAGTGGGGGAGCAGGCAGACCCAACGGCAATGCAGGCGAGGACACCCCTGTTCCACCTCCTGCTTCATAGTAATGATAAAACTCTGGCAACAAAAAAACACTGGCAGGAAATATGCCAAAAAGCAAACACATTTCTTTTGGAGAAACAGGCAATTAAAATATCTTCTTTCTACTATTTCCAAATCTTTCTTTAATGACTATATGCTTCTTTTATGATGGAAAAATTAAAAATAAAGCAACTTTGGCAAGCATCTCTCAAAGGAGTGTTCCCAGCTACTGAAAGGACACCATGCCTTCTATGCACAGCTCCCTGCCTGTTCTGGCTTCTTCCACATCTGATCTTGGTTCTTAAAGTCAGGCAAATGAGCCATGCAGCAGTCAAGGACGCTGAAGGAAATCAGGCTGTGGGTAAGAAAAAGCAAGGAGAAAGGCTGAGTATATGGATGCCTGCAGTTCAAGGTGGCAGGCTGCATGCCTCTGCTGCTTCTGAATATTCGGGAGAAAGGAATCTTGTAGAAAAGCATAAACCCACAAAGACAGAACAGGAACAAAGGCACAGGCATCCCAGGACCTGGAAAGTGGATAACTAAGTGGATGGATTTAGCAAACCTGAGAAAGCTGAAACCTATACCAGCAGAGAGGCTAGAAGCCGCTGGAACACCACACAGCCACCAAACGGCTTAGAGCTGGTGTAACAGCAACCCCTAAAAGCGAAGGTGAAGGTGGGCTGGAAATAGGAAAACAGGTTGAAAATGGGTTACAAAGCTGCTGCGCTTCCCTGTTCCCTCCTCACTCCAGCAGAAGACTGGGAGTCCATTCTCTAGAACTCTGGGCTGAGGGACCCCACACACAGCCAAAGGTGGGACTCTGCTGAAAAGTGGGGGATGAAGTTGATATTTATATATTAACCTTCAACCCCACTTCCCACTTAAAGATCTCAGAACTCTGGCAGCCAGAATCATACATTCTGGGCAACAGATTGGACATTTATCTTCTGGGTATCAGGCAGAACAAGAAAAAAAATGTCTTCAGATACTGCAGTGGGGATCTCCCAATGAAATGGCTTAACTAAATCACCCTACAAGAAAGTCCACCAGCCAGCAGCCCCCACCTGTGTTCACAGAGTTATTCACCAGCTTTCTGGTGTCTCAGTTTAAATAAGAATGAACAACCAGATTTCATCAACTGTATTTGGAAAGTCTATACCAGGAAAGAGAAAGGAATATGGGGAAAAACAGAAAAAGAACTCCAGAAGAAATAGAGGCAAGCAGGGAGAAACTCAAACAAACAAACCAATATTAATATCTTCACAGAGATGGGAGAAGATATTGGATCTACAAAGTGAGAATAAAATGCTATAAAAGAGGAACACTGAGAGGACAAAAGAGAGCTATTGAGAATGAAAAATATGACAGCAGGAATGAACAACTTGGTAGGAGACATGAAAGATGGCACTGAGGGACATTTTCCAGAAAGTCAAGGAAGTAAAGATGGCAGGTATAAAACTATAAAAGTTAGAGGATCAGACTAGGAGATCTACCAACAGAATAACAGGAGTTCAAGAAAGAGAGTCCAGAGAAATTGGAGGGCAGAAATGATCAAATACAACATTTAAGAAAACTTTCCATGACTGGAGGACATGAGTTTCTAGATGGAAAGGACCAATCCAGCCCTGGGCATGAGGGATGAAAGAAGAACTGTAGCAAGGCACATCATCGTGAAAATCCAGAACACGAAGGGCAGACAGAAGAACCTGCAAGCTTTCAGAGAGAAAGAAAGAGTAACAGACAAAAGGCCAGCAGCTGGGAGGGCAGAACAGCACTGGCAGCTAAAAGACAATGAAGCAATGCCTTTGAAATCCCAATTGGTGTGTTTTGAGGCTGGAATTCTATCCCCAGCCAAACTCCCAACCAAGGTCAAAGACAGAAAAAGATACATTCAGAAATGCAAGTTCTCAAAAATGGCCTTTTCTCTGGAAGTAAAGTAAAAATGAGGAAGCTCTGACATGCAAGAACCAGGAATCTACCATGAGAGCAAGGGAAGGAGGGCCCAGGATGCCGGCTGTGCCCTGGCCCAGCCACTGTCCAGACTGTAGCAGGACCAGAGGCTCCCGAAGATGATGCTCCTGCACCACCTCCCAGGTCTGGATGTATGGAGAAGAGCTTGACACGTAGGGTGGGAAGCTGGGGCTGAATCAGGGGAGGTCCTCAGACAGTTAAGCAAATGGAAAGAGAAGCATTAACTCCAGGGAAAGTAGAGATAGGAGGGAGTTGCAATCATTCTGCACTTGCAGACTCAGCTTTGGAGTGTGTGTGCAGAACCTTAACAACATGACCACTGATGTGAGTGGGATGGGTCGGGGAAGGTGGATGAAAGAGGGCTAAATCCTTACATTCTATAATGGGGAATTAATAGATAATGCTTAAAATAAAAATAATTAACAAAGGCCAGGCGTGGTGGCTCATGTCTGTAATCCCAGCACTTTGGGAGGCTGAGGCAGGTGGATCACCTGAGGTAGGGAGTTCAAAAAAAGCCTGGTCAACATGGTGAAACCTCGTCTATTCTAAAAATATAAAAATTAGCTGGGTGTGGTGGTCCACGCCTGTAATCCAAGCTACTTGGGAGGCTGAGGGACAAGAATTGCTTGAACCTGGGAGGTGGAGGTTGCAGTGAGCTGAGATTGCAGTGAGCTGAGATTGCACCACTGCACTCCAGCCTGGGTGACAGAAGTAATAATTAACAAGGAGTAGTGTATAAAAGAGATGAGATACCAAAGTATAAATACTGTATAGCCCTATTTAGATGAAGTTCAAGGACTGGCAGGACTCGTCAATGGTGATAAAAGGCAGAATAGTTGTTACTCTTGGGCAAAGGTATTGACTGGGATGGGACAGGAGAGAACATTCTGGGCGGGTGAAAATGATCCAGATCAGGATCTGGGTGTGATGGCATAAATGCACACGAACATACACATTCATCAAATTTCAGGCACACACACTCACAGTCTGGGCTTTATGCCAGTTAAAAAAAGGGATAGAAAGAAACAGAGAAGCATAAGCATGCGGTTTATCGATACAGAAGCAACACAAATAGCTAAAAATGTCAAAAGTGGTTGCCTCTGGAGAAGGTGAGTGGTGAGAGGGGCAGGGACTAATTTTTTCTGTGATAAGCCTTGTAGGATTATTTGACTTTATTAAATTATGTGGATGTATAACTTTGATTCTTTTAAAGGCTAAAAAAAAAAAAAAAATCAATGGAGCACACATCACAGTCTGCCAGTCCTGGTTTGCTCCCTGCCAGACAGCGCACTGCGTCGATGAGAGGACTTGCCGGCTGGTGCCGTAAAGTTATCTGCAAGGCTGACTTGAATGGACCCGGGACCTGAAGGCCCTGTTCCTGGCTCCTTCCTCATAAGTTGTGGAGGGGAAGGGCTGGCACCACTTGAGCCAGCAACTCTGGTGTCACGGGCCTAGAGGCCAACCACGTTCCATGGAGGGCAAGAGGCACTGCCCAAGGGTGCTTGCTGCTCTGCAGTGGCGGTGGCTCTTGGAAATGCCCCAGCCGCCTGGCACACAAGTAATGTTCCCAGCTTGCTATGGGTGACCAGGCCCAGAGAGCAGGTGACGATCTGTGATAGGGGCTCAGACTCACAGAATGCACACTGCACAGACCGGGCCTGAGCCATGGTCTTGCCCCTTCTGCCCCAGTGCCCACCTCCTCACCTCGAAGGTTTCGGATGAAGTCCTCCAGCATCATCTTCCGGTCAGGCTTGATGTTGGGGCTATACATGTCGGTGTTGAGGAGGATGATGGCGAAGGCAAGGATGAAGATGGTGTCGGGGTTGTGGAACTGCTGCACCACTTCAGGATTGCACATGCAGTAGCGCTGGCTGTGGGCGGGTCAGATGCAGAGCGGACACTGAGCCCCCGCTCACCCTCCCCCAGGCCCAACAAAGGAGGGGGTATCCAGGGGATATCCCAACTCTCCAAAGGCTTTAGGTCCAGGGAGACCACCATCTGTCCCATACCCTGGTCTTCTTCCCCACACCCCCAAATGCCCCACCTTTCTAGCCTGGGGAGCTCAAGGGGTTGGTCCCTTTTCTTTCCTTCACTTCTTTCTCCCCAGCCTATCCTGCCCACACCAGAAGGGGTGTTTCTGGCCCAATGTCCAACCCTCCTGATGACATCTCCTGTCTCCCAGGCTCACAGCGGCCCGGCTTCCCCAACCTGGGGTCTGTTGGGGAGTGGAGCTGGGAAGTGGCCTTACCTGAAGGCCTCAATGAGCCGCTCCACCTTCTGGGCCTCTCCTTGTACACGGATGTGTGCCTGGAACTTGCGCAGGGCCTCGTCCAGCTCCATGCTGGAGAAGTCCATCTCGTCCACCACGCAGCTGAGGGCAGGCAGGGAGGGTGTGAGGTCAGGCGGCCCCCTAAGCGCCCTCCAACACCCATTCCCGCTGGCCTCCGTTCCCAGCCAGGACGGGTGCAGGGCCCCTCAGGCTACTCGCCCCCGGGGTTCTCCCTTTAATGCCCCAAGAGGACCATCTCCTCCCATCTCCCACAGTAGCCCTTTCAGAGCCCAAACCCTGAGGCCAGGAGAGGCTTTGGTGGCCCAGGACACAGGGGTGGAGGGAGGCTGAACTCGGATCTTCCGACTCCAAATCCCAATTCCTTCCTTCTTAACCTCAGATTATCCCAAGCAAAGCTTTCAACATAAACAATACAGTAAACACATTTATTTTGTTCTTTCAGAGAACTGCTAGGAGCCTGTGTTTCTCCCAGGTTTAAATTTCACTTTCTCATTTGGGTCTTGAGGTGGCTGAGTCCTCCCTTGGGTCCCTTCTGCTGTAGGCTGAGCAGTAAGGAGCAGAGCCCTTCAAGCCCCTGGGGCTTTCTGCAGCCCAGCTCCTTCCAACTGCCCCAGCCCTCGGGGAGACTGTGGTGGGAGGCATGGCCTCTTAAGAGTAAATGACAAATGTGCTTAACGTGAGGGGACAGCGTGACACGCAGGCCAGATTCTGGTCCTGGCCCTCCTGTGAACTTGGTGTGACTCTGGCTCGCCCACTCACTCCTGGGGCCTCCGTGTGCCCTTCTGAAAAGGGAGGAGGCTGGAGTCCCTGCTCCCCAAGGGCCTTGCTACCTCTGAAACGCTGCCTCCAACCTGGGGGGTTTGCCTCTGAACATCCCGAGCTTCAGTGTGTGTGTGTGGGCGGTCATATGCCAGTTCTCCCAGCTAAGCAGGCGCCTTCCTCTGGTCTAGCCCAATCCAGGGGACTCTGCACTGCAGGGTCTGAGGCCGAACCCTCCCAGCCCCCTCACCCTGCCTCACCCTCCTTTGGGGTGCTCTGTCCCCAGGGCCATGTGCAGCGAGGCAGGAGTCCAGGCCTGGCAAACCAGGGGACCCAATGTCCCCTGGGCATTGCTTTCCCTTTGGGAGAAGCAGACCAAGCGTATTAGATTAGGCTCTTGGAGCTGACGTTTGCCCACTCTACACCCACTCACCCGTCTCCTCCCACCGGCTATGGCACAGCCCCTGCACACTGCCCCGACACTGCCCACTGCTGGCAAGCAATCCCTCTCTGCTCCCACGGTCCTCTGGCCTGCCTGCCCAGCACATCAGGGCACAGAAAACGCCTGCTGAGTGGCCATGGGATGGTGACATGAGCTCTGAGCAGGACCCACTTCCTCCATGACCTCAGCTTCCATTCTGTGCCTACTGCCCAGGAGACGTGGAGACCCCCACTCTGCCGTCAGTTTTTAGGAGAAAACAAGGGGAGACGCAAGAGTGGTGGTGGTCAGGACCTGGCGGTCCGTGGACTCTGCCTCTCCCACAGTTTTCTGGGGAGAACCAGGAGGAAAGCGCATCACCGAAGGCTCTTAGAAAGGGAGGGGGTGCCGAGAGGGAGCTGGGAGTCTCTCCTCCTCTTTCCTTTCCCCTCCCTCCCACAGGCAGGGCCCATGGCCATCTTCAGGCTGTGAGTTGTCCTTGGCTTGGTCAAAGCCCACTCCTCTCAGGTTTGCTGGCTGGGACGGTGGGCAGGTGAGGGTGGGGCTAGGGGTGGAGGCCAGCATCTTGCCCAAGGGTGAGAATCAGCAGCACCAGGATCAGGGCATTTGAGGTTGAGGTGCCGGCTGGGGAACAGGGGCCTCCAGGGCCAACCAAGTGACAGGCTACTCTGATTTCCCAGTGACCCTCCTCACCTCCACCCTGTACCCTCTGCAGCCGTATGTGAGCACCAAAGGCCCTATGCGGCCACATCCGTGTGTTCCCATAGCCCAGCCCATCAGGAGTCAGCAACTGGGCACAACGGAGCCACACAGTGACACTGTCCAGGGCTGGTGACCAAAAGGCTGTGGTCCGATGGGTACAGAGACAGAGCCTGGAGGAGGTGAACCAGTGTGGTCACGCATCAAGGGAGTCGGAGTGTTTGGGCCAGAGAGATGGAGTGGGGCAGCGAAGGTCAAGGAAAGTCTAATTAGACAGACAGAGAGAGAAAGGAGAGAGAGAGAGGGACAGGCAAGGAGGAAAAGGCAGGAGACAGATCCCAGAAAGGGAACAAGACTGGAGAGTGAGACGAAGAACAGGTGAAAAACAGACAGAGGGAGGAAGGGGGAAAGACAGAGAGACACGAGGAGAGGAAGGGACAGGAGGGGAAGAGGAAAAGACAGAAAAAGACTGGTAGAGATGAAGATGTGAAGTGCGCCACGGACTGGTGGGGGCGGCATGGAGCGACCACATCCCGCCCTCCCAGCCCAGGGTGCTGACTCTTTTGAGGCCAAGGAAGAGGCCCTTGGTCTCTCTGAGTGGCATCCTGCTGCTCCCCAGGACTTGCCTCCATCTGTCATGTACCCCGCCCCTTCCCTGTTTCTGAACCCTGAGGTCCTGGCACCCAACCTCCCACATCCACGTTCCTCCAAGAGCCTCTCTCTGAGTGCCTTCTGCCCCAGAGCTGTGGACCCGGTCTCACCCTGCAACGGCGGGGGTGCCGGGAGGCCCAGGGCACCGTGGGGGCAGGCTTCCGTAGGAGGCGGTGGGAGCAGCTGGTGAGGGTGGGATCTGCCCAGCCAAGCACGATGGCCTAGTTTCCAGCCCTTCACTCAGGTGACAAGCAGCTGCTCACTCGCTCAGGGCTGCCGCTAAAAGCCCTGGTAGTGAGCCCAGAGCCTGAGAGCCAAAGGCTGGGATGGGAGAAGCAGCCAGGTTGAAAGGTCGGCCCACATAATGAGAGTCGAATACACCCCTCGTGAGCCTCAGAGCAGGGAGGGTTGCAGGGGTGGGCACGTGGGCTGTGGAGCCGGAGGGGCCTCCCATCCAACATCTTCCAGTGTGTGTTCTCAGGACCTCATAGCAGAGTCATAAGAGTTAAAATGCAGCTCGCTGGACCCCACCCCACACCCAGCAAATTAGGATATTTGGGGGCAAGGCCTGGGAATCAGCACTCTCTGCAAGATCTCCAGGTTGTTCCTAAATTGTGACACCAAAGGCTGAGCTGAGTGCAAGGGTAGGCCTCGTTGCAGCTTTTAAAGTGTGAATTCAGCAACTGACAGGCCACCGGGCAGCAGCCCTCAGGGGCATGTGTCCCCACCTGGATATCGGGGCTGCTTTTGCAGTGCAGGTGGTGAGGGAGGGGGTGGATGGAGGCATGAACAGATTTAGTGCTTCCCCTGGCTGTGCGCTGGCCATCCTGCCTTCCTCCCCTCCCTGCATTTACCACCACACGGTGTCTGTGTTTCATGAACAGGTGCTATTCTGGGTTTCCCAGACCCTGGGGGAAAAAATGACATTTTCTGGCTGTGAAAGCCCCCGCTGGAAGGGAGGAAGCTCTGCTGAGTGGTGGGACACTCTACCCTCCTGCCTGAGGAGGCCACTTCCTTACTGGAGAGTTGGGGGTTGGACCAGGTGGCCGCTCAGGACAGGGACCCAGAGGCACCGGCCATCTCTGAAGCAGATGCTCCCAACGGCAGGGGGCGGATGACCACAGCAGCACTTCCGGCGGGCTGGTGGCTTCGTCCCCGCCGTCCTCCGGGAGAATCACTTGTCACTGTTTGCCTTTCTGATAGGGCCTGTGTCATCCTGGGGAAGGTGGCCGGGGGTGGGACTGTGCTGTCTGCCATAAGCCCTGCTCATTCCAGAGTCCCCAGAAGCACCCATCAGCCTTGGCCCTCTCCAGCATGAGCCTCCTCTTCACTCCCTGAGCATAAGCTTCTGCCCGCACTGTGCCCTCTTTTTCTCCCTCCCCTTCTCTCACTCTCTGCCCTGTTGCTTCTCTTCTTTTGCAGCGTCTACCAGCACTCCTAATCCCCACTTTCCAGCCTTCTGTGCGGCCCTGGAATCCTCATGGAGAGCTGAGTGTGGGCAGTTTACCAAATCCATCCTGCAGCCTCCACCCAGGGCGGCCCGGAGTCCTCTCTCCTCATCGGTCGTCTTTAAGGTAAAGAGCACCTCACATTCCCGGATGGTCTTTTCTGGTGTATCATCTCCCCATTTTACAGAAGACAAAACTAAGGCCGCGTAGGGCTTGCCGCATGCTCCCACAGCTGGGAAGAGCGGGCTGTCAGCTTCCTAGTCTAGTGAGGCCTCTCCCTGCCCCACTGGGCTCCCTTCTCTTCACTCCTGTGTGTGCACGGCGTGGCGGGGAGGTCCCTTACTCCAGTGCGGGGAGCTCTCCCTCCGAGCTCTCTGTACTGAATATGGCTCCAAGTGCTTCACTACGTGTACAATGACTTCGTTTTCTCAAGCTTGGGCAATATGAACCATTATTCCATTTTTTAAAATTACATATGAGACTGAAGTACACGAGAGAGCCAGCCCTGCAGGGGGACTGCACACATCTCATTCCTTGCTGACATCTCCTGGGGCAGGTGGCCCCCTGTGCCCTCCTCTCCCCCACCTCTCCCTGGCTCTCTGCTGCTCAGTGGCTGGCACTAATGTATGTCTTCCTAGGGGCTGTGATCTTACCCAAATGGCTTGGTGGGGACCTGTGAGAGGCCAAGGGGAAACATGTGGACACAGTTAACCAGGCGTGCCTATTGGCTCTGTGGTCACCCTGCAGGTTCAGAGCTGGCCTGGGCACAGCAGGGGCCCATATCCCTGACCTTCTGCCTTCCCCTTTCTGGTGCCTTTTGCGCCCTATGGCAGTGGCTGGCTGACTCTTTCAGCAACACACACTGAAATGGCTCCTGTGTGCAAGGTTGTGCTAAGGAGCTGGTGTAAGTGGCAAGCAACACAGTGTCTGTCTTGGTGGGAGAGACAGGCATTAAACACAGAATCAAAAATAATTTTTTTTTTTTTTTTTTTGAGATGGAGTCTCGCTCTGTCGCCCAGGCTGGAGTGCAGTGGTGGGATCTCGGCTCACTGCAAGCTCCGCCTCCCGGGTTCCCGCCATTCTCC